GGCGCTGAGTGGGCTAATGCTCGTTAGATATAGCAAAGGGTGCCTTCTGATGCTCGCCGAGGGTGCAAGGTGCACTGGTGTATATTTATGGTTATGATTGTGGTTGCGAATAGATTAAGTTGTTGTTAAATAAACAAAGGCCAGCAAATGCACTTGGCGCGCTCATATCCACAACCATAACTTCGGACGATATGAGCATGTGTGTTTGTGTGTGTGCGTTTATTAAACTATTAGATGCGAAAAATGATAAATTAGCCTGGTGACACCCCTCAAAGCAACTGCTGACAAACACAATATGCGTTAAGCGCAAATACATAGAACTCAGCATGGAGTAGAGAGTGCAACAGCTTGCGAACAGCAACAACTGTGCTGACCAACATGTTTGTCAAGCGGCAGCGTCTTGATAACGATCAATTCTATACCGCTACCGAATGCTTAGAATAAAAACGCTTTGAATTCAGCAACGAAAAGTGATTAGCATACGAAGTAAATTCTTCGGCTTTATTCTGCTGATATCATTTGCTGATAAATTAATTTAATTATTTTTTGCTCATGTGTTCACTCAGCTTCATCCGTTCATCAGCTTGTTACTTTAGTGTAATAAATACACATATGTTAATATATTTGAACATTCCTCTCATTAGTGTTCAATCAGATAGCGAGCCACTGAGTCAACTAGGCGGATAAATTGATGAGGGACTCCCATTGCATAATAATCTTTATACCTTGCAATTGCGTATTGATTTACTACCAACTTGTTTTCTCGGATATATAAAAGAAATATTTTGCAATTTTCCTATATTTCAATTCTCAAACTCTATATCGCACTCGTTACTCTGAGAGCTGGTACGTTTGGTTTCACTGCTCCAAAAAACTAAGACAGTTGATTTTCACAAGCTTTTCTTGAGGCGAATTTTTCACCAGCAAAATTATTTGGCATAGACAGGAACGGATAGTAATAACTTGTTGTCAGGTCGGGACTATAAGACGGATACTTAATAACCTCCTAACAATTATTCAATAGCTTCTGGTGAATCACTATCAATGGTTGTGGCCTGGCGTTGTCCCGATGAAACACACATCCTTCCCTATTGGCCAAAGATGGTCGCTTCTGTGATATTGCTATCTTCAGACGGTACAATCGGTGACAATACAGGTCTGAATTAAAAGTTTGACCATAGGACAGCAAGTCAAAGCATTACTGGCAGTCAATCTTGGCTTGGCCAATGTTTGCGCCGGCTCACTCCAATTCGACCACGAGCAAGACCATCCGCTTCAGAAATTAATCGATTTTGTTCCGATTGCGCAGCGATTTGCAGATGAAGTTTTCACTTTGCTGGTGCCCATCTGCGACGCGTGGATTAAGCAATCACAAAACTGTCTGAGAAGTTTTTTCTAACGTTATATATCGTAATATGATCACACTTACACAACGCGAGATTGCTAAAGCCATCTATTGAAAAAATAAAGGATTTCTTTTTTTTTCTAGACCTTATGTGAGTGAACCAGTCAGTTAGCAAGTCTTCATTTTAGTTTTTACTGATTACGTAATTTCCGATATCATTGTTGAAAGCTCTTCTGGTCAGTAAGCTTCTCAAACTTTTCGCACTAGCGCATTACGACCTTTGCCGTAGTTTTCCGACATAAGTACTATTTATAAAGCCCATTCTTACATAAATAGGTTCTAAATTCGAATTGGGAAACGACAATTCGATATTAACCAATAGTTTTTTTGTTCAATTATGGTTCTGACTGATTTTAGTTTGATCTATTTTTTTGAAAATTCGATATTTTATGTCTACAAGCACTTAAAACCATAAGTCTTCACAGAGGTGAAGGTTTGTAATGGCTTTCTATGATACCAAATTGCAAATTAGCACCCTTTCTACTGACCACTTTTTGATTACCTCAGAAAATGCAGCTGCCTCATCAGTATTAAGTTTTTTATTCAAAATAGATAAACTTCTCTTCAGCGCTGAGTCTAAATGATTTCACCAGCGCCACCAACAATGCGCACCACACAATCTTCCACCTGCAAACCTTCAAACCCCTTAAGTACTTAATTAAAAACCTAAATAAACCCAACCAGATGTACTCGTAATGCTAAAATAATTTTTAACCCAACAAAAATATTATAAAACAAGCAAACACCAAAACAATCACAACCAACCCAATCCACAACATAACAGCCCTACAAGCACGATTAAGAGTACTATATCAAAGCGCTGGCCACACACAAACGTGATAGGCATTTGTGGAAAGTGAGTGGCGCGTGCGGTGTGACCTGAAACACATGTTTTTCGGGATTTGCAGATTTACGCACAGCAACAACACAACTTAGATGACAACGAAAAGGGCACGAGCCATCGTTGATACAGTGATTTGGATGGTTATGATTCTAATGCTTCCGTTGCTGCCTTCCTGTTCGGTTGATGGTCGTTGCACGGCCTTCAAAATGATACTGGCACTTATGACTATTGCGGTCGCAGTGGTTGCAATAACGCGTGCTCGATTGACTTCGACTGCATGAAGAGTTTTCCGAGGCCAGTAGATAGTTTGTGCATACAAGAACACAATGATAGAGGCGTTGCATTATTAGATGTGTTACCAAAACGTGCTTGCAATAAATTGAAGTCAAGGCTTGTTTACAATACAGGGGCGGTTGTTGCCGCTAGCGGACATAGGCGGTAGAAAACATTGACGCCACATTTTTTAACGATGATTTCAATAACAGCGTACGAAAATGAAATCGTTTTCAAAACCTCATGTAATAAAATATTCTGATAACGACGGTACATAAACTGATAAACAAGTTCAAGTTAGGTTCATCGTGGATTATCAATTACAGGACAGGTTCCTCTGAATAGACTAAAATACCGCCAAATTTTTTTCCACCGAAAGAGGTGGTTTCTTTTTACACTCATACCAACTGATCTAATTTGATCCGGACTGTGCCTCTTTTATGAAATTTAATGAAAATTTGAAAACGAGTTTCCTTGAAATTTTATGTGTCCAATAGAATCACATTTTGCAAAAGTGTTATAAGGCGTTTACTTTATCACAAACACAAATAATTGAGTGGCACGAAACATACAGTAAAGGTCGTAGAGAGATAGCACATGATCTCAACATCTCTTACTCTAATCGACTCAACACACTTTGGTTAATGTTTGGATGTAAAGCGGGTCAATGCTAGACTCATACCAAAATACCCAATTATTTTGCAAAAACAACGTCGAGTAGAAGATGCAAAAGAGATGCCTGATAATATCGTTTTATCAAAAGCATCATTACCGGTGACGAGACGTGGGCTTATGAATATGACGTCGAAACTAACCAACGATCTAGCGAATGACGCTCCGAAAATACCAGTCATTTAAAAATCAGGGTGATGCTTTTCGTTTTCTTTGGTTTCTGCGGTGTGGTTTCACTGGATCAAACGGTCAATAATGAATACTACGTCTACGTGAAGCAATTAGTAAACAATCGGATTTGTGGAGAGAAAATGGATTTTTCACCAAGCCGTTTCATTCCAGTATGATTCTGACTGACTTTTTTGCCAAACACGAAAAGAGAGTCATCGATCATTTCGAAACTGAAAGACTCGCTTCGGAGAACCATTCGCTCAAGGCACTGAACACCTTACCAGCCGAGGCTTATAACAAGTAAAAGGAAAATTGTATTAAGCTTTGGCATGTTTGTATTGGTTCAAAAAGAACGTATTTTGAAGCCCTTATATGTTATAGGAATCCTTTCACTCTTAAAATATACAAATTTTCCACAACTTTTGACCTGATTTAACGCCCCGTACCAGTTATCTTAGCTCCGCTCCTGGAAATCACGACCAACCCTAAATTCAACCGCAAACAAATGTGAAAATTAAGGTATTAGATTGGTGTATGCGGAGAGGGGTTGTAGTGTAGACTCATGTATGAAAGTATGTGCATTGGATGCGATTTGTATGGCATAGCTAAACATATTATGAAAAGAAACTGCTGCATACAAACATACATACACACACACACATTGAATTGAAAGCAAAACTTTGCAATAACATTGACACTCGATCGTTTAATTTCAATTAAAAACCTTTTTACGCTCGCAACAAAGCGCTTTACGGCCTGATAAGTAGGGGGGAACGGCCCGGATAACACCAATTGCGAAAAGCCAAAAAGGCTCAACCTTCCAAGTACATGTATGTGCGAGCAACAACAAAAAGAGTGGCAATAACAACAACAAAGGAACATGCATACATAAGTAGCGACAAATGATTGTGTGTTGCAGATAGTGAACGCGTGAATGAATGGGTGAGTGGGTATTGTTGAGTACAGGCGTGCAACACTTGCTCTATGGCTTAGCGCGTGGCACAACATGATGTTGCACTTGTTTGCTGCTTGCTGCCAAACAACCACCGCCGGACTATGTTTCGGTGCGGATGAAACAGTTTGACTGGCTGTTGGCAGTCAGTGTTTGGTGTTGTTTGGTTGCTGCGGATTTTATTGTTGTTGCACATGTAGTTGTTGTACGACTTGAATTCGGATGTTGACTGTTAGGGCATGCCGTAGCAGGCAGTTAAATGTTGGGAATTCTTGCACTTGTCACCAACTGCGGAACTAAAATGATGCGCGCCGAGCACTAGCCGCGGCAGAGCGGTCACAAAACATCCTAGTACCGTAATTCTAAGCAGAAAACTTTGATAGCCGTAGCGCATAGGATAAGGGCAATTGCCGAACATTTAGCGATTTTGCAAGCTGCCAAGGGTCACGTAAATATGTCGCCGAACACGTGGTCGGCAGGCGAAATGAGCAGCCAGCAGCGCAGCGGCAACGCGTTGATATAAAAGCCAAGGACATTCCCAATTGGAAAGCAGAATCAAATTAGAACGCAAACAGGATGCACGATAGTGCATCTGGGAGCTCTTATAAAGTTTAAAAGTTTTTAATTTAATTTATTTTCGCGTTTCAAAAAAATTATTTTTAACTAAATTATTATTGAGAAAAATGTTGCCAGCGCTATCGAGCAATAGTGCACATCAATTACATTTGGATAACAATAATAGCGCATCACAACAACAACAACAACCATTGGAGCAATCTCAACAGCAGCAGCAGCAACAACGCTCCAACAAACGTAGCGCCAGCATGATATTTCGCATCGAACACCTGCTGCCAAGCACCAGTCGGGGACCACTAGGTATTGTACCGATTGCAACAACAAGCGGACATTTAATGAGTGATCGACAGTCGCCAACATACACAGTAACCACTGGCGCCCCTAGCAGCACCTCCACCATTACAACTACCGCCAAGCGTGCCAAGCAACGTGCCACTTGTAACGGTGTACTCCTGTCGCAATTCACGCCGAAGGATTCGCTATCCGAGCCCATACCAACATATGCACTGATGAGTGCTAGTCACATAGCGGTTAGTGAGCAGCCCGTTACGGCATATTGCACGCTCTCGCAAGGTGTGTTGCGCATGAGTCCGGAACTCTTGCGTCGCATAAAGCTCTCGGAGGACATACACAGTTATAATGCGCTGTTCGAATTGCAACCGGGCGGTGCTGTGTATGTGCGTACGGTGCGCGATGTGGCGCGTGATGAGGAACTCGTGGCGTGGTTCGGCGAAGAGATAGCGCTGCTGATGTCCATACCATTTCTTACGCCGCTAAATATACAAGGTGAGTGTTGTTGCATTTATATAATATATGTATTAGAGAAATAAGATTGAAGACGTATCGCAAATTCTAACTTAAAATTATTATTCGTTTTTTAAAGGCAATAATCGCTACACTTGTCACCTCTGTCAACTAACATTCGAAACACCCAATCCGCTGAAGATTCATTTGGCTCTCGGCTGCGGTCGCCACTCTATGGACATACTTTGGATACGCCTACACTATGCGCTGAAAGCAACTAGCTATACACAACAACATCAACAGTTATTCGCAACCACGACGACACTAGCTGCAACCCAAGCGCCGCTCGCACGGCACTCGCCAACTGCCGCTGCTTCGAGCACTTCGTCAATCTCACCGGCGTCATCACCAAAACCCGCTCCGCTGACACAGCCAAGCACAGCGCAGCCACAACATCAACCACAAGTACAACGTTTTTCTGCCTTTAAACCCGTTTCTCAATCCATCGCATTCACCGCCGCCGTATCCACGAGCTCCTTTAGCAACCCACATGCGCACACCAGCACTGCTGTCAGCCCCAGCACGGCTCTATCGTACCTGCCACCGATCGCCTCTGTTGGCGGTACTTTGTCTCATATGCGCCTACTACAGCCGAGCAGCAGTATAGGCATTGGTCCCACAAATCCCCTGAATGCTGCCGCACAAATCGAAGCGATCGTTAGCAATATGGGCGCCTCGAAACAGGGTCATCTCTGCATCTACTGTGGCAAGGTATATTCTCGAAAGTATGGTCTGAAAATTCATATTCGCACACATACCGGCTTCAAGCCACTCAAGTGTAAGTTCTGTCTACGTCCCTTCGGTGATCCAAGTAATTTGAATAAGCACGTTCGCTTACATCTACAATCGAACGTAACAAATACGCCAGTTGAGGGTTACAAATGCACGCTGTGCAACAAAACATTGGCGAGAAGACGCGATCTCCAGCGTCATATTGAATCGCGGCACTCCGGCGATGGAGGCAGCACCTGATATAAGTATTTAGTGTGCTGGCCTTGGGGTTGGCTTAGAAAGCTTAAAAAATATGTGATAATACAAATAAGTTGTTTAAAAAATATTAAAGTATACTCTGATGAAATTGAATTAATTCGTAGTTTTAAATTTGACGGATAATCCATGTGACCTTCGGCGTGGAGTGAGTAAGTTTCAGAGGTAATAATGTATTCTACATTTGTTAACCAATTAGTTTTGGGCTACGGCTGCTAAGGTTACAGTTCTCGGCAGTGAAAGCCTTTTCTAATGCCGTGTAACTCGAAAACTATTAACGTTTTTTTTTCAAAATTTTAAAGTAGTTGAAAAAGTAGTTTTTTTTAATTCGCAAAAATCGCCGTTTTTAGGCTGTCACATTAGGTGTGCCGTTTAAAGCCCCTGCACAAATGTTATAGCTTAAGAAATGAAATATTGTAATAAGCGTCTTGAGACAGCACCTTAATTTAGTCAATTAACACTACGTCTAATCTTGTTAATTAGTAAACAGTTAGCACATCGCTTAATTGACGAAATCAAGAGTCTTTCTGAAACAACTATTGGTAACTTTTATTAATTGAATTTATTTTTATTAATTGTAATATGTATGAAGGTATGTAATTTACATTATATTATAATAATTTCTAATACAAATTCCACATTCATTTTATAAGTAATAATATCGCATTGTATATTGTGTTTTCTGTTTTTTTTTTTTTTGTTTGAACATATGTATCTACCATAAGTAATTATGTGTGTATAAATTTTTTTTTATATTTTTTTAGATTTAAACCACCATTTGTTTCGAGCATCGCCGCCTTTTCTTGTAACAATGATTTCATGAAAATTAAACACAGACAATAAATTTGTTGAAGAAGAACACTGTAAACAATCACATACATTTTTTTTTTTAATTTCAATATTTAATATTTATTATCTTTACGGAATCATGTGTAGGTGTGTCTTTCACTTTAATTACTAGTAGCCACCGCCTGCTACAGAAAAATGGACAACTTGTCTATTTCGTTTTTAATTGCTACAAGTATATACATATATTAATGTATATATGTATGTATGCATTATGAAGATTTATGTGAGTACGTATGCGTGTGTTTAAGACCATCTTGGCATGTTCATCTGCATATGGTATGTAGTCATCATTATATAATTATAGTGCATACTCATACCTATCTACAAGTATGTGTTTTGCTGGCTGCAGAATGTGTAATGTCTCAGGAATATATAATATTATATGTATATGTAAGTACATATAGTATAATTACATTTACATTGACAATTTATATTGCGTTGTACGGTTTTAATTACTTAGTCAAGTAAGTTTTAGGTAGTTAAGGTGTTCTTTTCACTTATTACTTGTCTATGTATTTCGTTTAATATATCTTTATGTTTGTATACTATTCTGTTTTTAATAAATGGTAGGAAAGTTTCAGTAGAGATTGAGCAAAAATATTTGAAACACTGACATTTAGAAGTAAGTATGTACAAATAGTAATCTTGCTTGTAATTTCTTCTGTATGTTGGCTTTAAGTTGTGCTTATAAAATATTTCAAAAAACGCTTCCTAAAAAATTTCAAAAGAAATATACACCATCTGATCAAATGTGACCCGGACTTTCAAAAAAGTACATTTTTACGTAATTTATTACAAATCCCCTGGGCCAATGCAAGCATACATACCAAAGCTTAATAAAAATTTTCATGCACTTGTTATAAGCCTCGGCAGCATTGGCCTTGAGTGCCTTCAGCGAGTTTTGGTCTGGTTTCGGCTCATTTTTGGAGCTACATTAGCTAGATTGTTGAACAGTTATTACCTGCTTTGTCAAGCAATGATTTCAGTTTTTTTGGTACGAGTCCAGTATCTACACACTTCATACCCAAAATATTAACCAAAACGTGTTGAATCCATGAGTAAAGTTTTTGATATTTTCGATGACTTCACGATCTTTACTGAATGCTTTGTGCCACTCAAATAGTTGTATTCGCGATAAAATAGAGTCCCCAAAAATTGTCTACCAACATAAAGTTTGAAGAAAATTTTTTAAGTTTTTTCTTATGGTAAAAATTGTCACACAAACAGTTCACGTTGTAAAAAAGATGGTACCAATCGAGGAAAAAAAATATATTTGATCAAATGGTATAAAAAAATAGATACATTTTCTTATTAAATATTAGTACTTAAATGTTTTAAAATTTATACTCAGTAAAAGTTTTTGAATTTGAGCAGATTGAATTTCAAGCACTGTGCATTATTATGTATTATTACTATTATATTTATAAAATTGTTAATAAGAGTTCGCAAAATAAGGAATGTAATTTTTTTGTATTATCATCTGTAAACGTTATTAATAGATTTTTTTATTATTATATTCTTTTTACCTTGCTCTGATTTTTTTATAAAAATGTACTTGTTTCTATTTAATATATTATTCTTAAAAATGAATTTATCATTTGTTGTGACTTATTCTGAATTTCTGTCCGCTTCACAAAAATGTATATATGTATGTATATTTAAGCATATAAGACTTTTTTCGACATTACTTCAATTCTTTTATTGAATTTATTTTAACGAAGAACTTTAGTAGACGGTAGTTTAGTTTGTTTTAGCTACAAGGCTGAGTAACTTTTGTATCAAGTAGCTATGTATGTGTGTGATATTTTTGAATGAGCGTATTGTTTGTGTGTATTTGCAGATTTACATATACATGAACATGTGTATGTAGATGTGCCTCTATATGTGTAGTAGTATGTATTTATTTATAGGAAATTGAAATTTAGATTGCGGTTTTTTGTATTGCAGAATAAGGCACTTCATCCAGAAAATTTGTTTCGCATACACCTCAATATGTATTTTATAACATTGCTTATAGTTATGTACCTATGTATACGTGTGCTTGTTTAGACAGGTAAAAATAAGAATTGGTTACAAAAATAAGTCACAGTCGGTTTTCAAGTACCGACAGAGAAGCATATGACTTAACTCGAGGCCGTGAGATCAAGTATTATTTCTATAAACAGTTCAGCACAAAGAGCCAGCGGAAAAATAAGATTTCTTGGTAATGCGAGTATAACCGAAACAACCCAAATAAAACAAGGGCAACGAGATATCAACAATCATCAAAGAACTAATATAGAAATCGATTTACAGTACCCTCAAGGTGGATCATAAACTCGAGTTTTATATTTATCGCTACTCATAAACATGGCGTTTTACATTGAAATACAACTTTTTGGAAACATGGAAATATAATATTGCTCAGTCACAAACTCGGGATTAATCTACATTTCATGTTAAATACTACTCACAAACACGGACTTTTCCATACAAAAAAACTTTTTAGAAATATCAATATATAATATTTTTCAGTGACCATCTTGAGTTTTTTCGTCATTTAATGTTAAACACTACTCACAAACACAGAGAGAGATAAATACAGCTTTTTAGATTTACGAAAAAAAATACTGAGTTTGCCACACCAATACAACTTTTTAAAAATACGAATATAAGTATTGTATAATAAAATAGAATAATTAAATCGCAAAAGTAACTGTAATGAGATCACCATGGCTTCATAAAGCATGTATTTTAAAATCAATGGTTTTTAATTACATCAAAGAAAATTCTTAGGGCTATATACCTATGTATGAACTCAAAACCTTATACTAGAGTTTATAGCGAGTTAAAGACAATGTAACCCAGACTATGTAGAGGTGGGCCTAAAAGTAATAAAAAATTAAGAATTTCATTTTCTTCACTCGCACACATACATAAGTACATAATTATGTGCAAATTTGAAGAACTCATAGATATATATATTTTACGAAAATATTCCCTAAAAGCTTAACACACACAGTTCATTAATATTAGTGTTACAGTACGTATATATGTTTGTGTATGAATATGTATGTATGTATGTAGGTAATTGATTTATGTCACTGCGTATGATGATGATGATGATGCTCAAGATTTTATTTAAAAAAAGGCGGCTACATATGCATTCGTTTAAAGCTAATTCTCACTTTACACTCCCGTTAATGTTAAACAGCTTTTATATTCCCATTAAATACTTGTATTAATTGCAGGTAATATTTAGACTTAAGTATATGCTTACACATTTTCAGATTTGGTTATAGTTGCTTGAGTTAAAATAAGTTATTTACGGTTTAACATTTATTTTTTTTTATTCGAAGAAAATATGTACTTGTGGATATTAGTGTTTTCTTTGTGAAAGTCTTTCAAATTTGTTACCAAGTTGTCTGTATGTATGTAAGTATTTATTACATTTAGGCGTTTAATCATCATTTGAGCTGCAAACTACATATTATATGTGTGCCCGCTATTACATTTGATCGGGTCTTCAAGTAACACATTGGTTATACATATGTATGAATATGTATGTATGTTTGTACGCAATTATGCTTATATATGTATATTCTGTATGTCTTATATATGTATGTATATTATCTAAAAATTGGTACACATATAAATTGTTTAAAGGTAGTTATTAGAGAAAAATTTTTTTTTTTTAATTTTTATTTTTTGTTTTTTCTTTCTTGATTTCATTCACTTAGATGTTTAAATAGACACCAATAATAAAGTTAACATTGTTGATTGTTGTTCAAATTTTCATTTTAACATTTATACTCATATGTTGATCTATGAAAAGCTTAAATCTAATTTAGTTCATTTCATAACTTCTGTGACCGGACACTATTTTTATTTCGATTTTCATATGTAATATGCACGCATATACGTATCTTATTTTATATAACATAAATTCCACTTGAAGCACACTTGGGTTGGTTTACTACTACATTTATTTAATAGTTTTCAGGATTTATTAACTTTCAATTTTTATTAATTTTTTTTTTTTGTCTTTTATCTTTTGCTTAGAACAAAATATGTAAGTATGTTTTTTTTTTTTTTTTGTTAACAATTATTTTTATTTAGGATTTTATACTATTTTATGTTTTTATTTTTCAAAAAGT